ATATATATATATATATATATATATATGCGCGCACACACACAATGTTAGCGCTTGTTTGGCAAAACTTAAAATCCAATTAAAATTGAAAATATATCTGTTATTGGGTCTCATTCGTTTAATAAAAGTCAACAATAACGACTAGTTTTTTAATTTTAATTCGATTTTAATCCCTACCGAACACGCCCTTAAACTATTTTGCATGAAAAAATGAATTATTCTTAGCTTTCCACCTAAACTAACTGCATAGGAAAGGTATCATCCATCCAGATGATAGTTGATCAAAAATTTCATAAACTAAAACTACCGCAACCACCTCTACCAGTCACCGCAATTGTGATCACTATGGTGATTACTCATCGCTAGTTTCACTCCATACTCGTTTGGGATTGACATTTGTTTCACTCCATACTTGTTTAATTTTGACATTTGACCAACTAACTGTCATTAAACAGAAATCATCCAAATGTCTTTCAGCGTGCATTTATTACAAATTTTTCTTCTGGCGTGTTTGATTGCATTTATTTTTTATGAAAAACGTCAAATTTTCACTTAAATTCCTATTTTGAAATATTTGATTTCTATTTTTGTCCATGAGAAATATTTTCCGACATTTAAAAATGTCTAATTTTCCTTTTTTTAAGAAAAACATTTTCTTTGGAGGAGTAGGTTTTTATTTTCCTAAAAATAAAAAAAATATTTTAATTTTTATAATGTATTTTTCATGTCAATCAAACACACTCTTCATGTTTTAGCAAACTTGGAAGAAAATACATAACCGTGATTTTTATTTTTATTTTTCATTGTTTTTTTCCAATTAATCTACATTTGGACAAAATTACAGCTCTGCTGAAGTTCAATCCGCTGGATATACGGTTCTCCATTATCGGTAAGTTCGTCTTTGGGGTCCACACATTTTCTCCTTCAAACCTTACGTGTCAAGATAAGCATTATTTTCTTCCAAACAAACATTGATAAATCAGGTTCCAGAACCCCAAAAATTTACTCGAACTAAGAAAAAGATCTTTGTAATGTTTTGTAATTCTTATTAACCAGTGCTGAAATCCTCCAAATTGCGTTTTTCTTTTTATGAAGTTTCAGTATTTCTGTGCTGCTTTGTGAGGTGGGGTTTCTCTTTCCTTTCTCCTGTTTACTGGGTTTTTTTCTTCTTAATTTTCAAATCTTTCAATTTATTGGGGTTTGAGTTTAATGCTTGTTTTTTTGGGGATAATTCTTGATTATATAATGTTCTGCTGTTGCTTGACATTGTGAATGCGTTTACATCTAGAAGATCTTGACTAATTATGTCAATTTAATTTTGTGTAAATGAGGTACTGTTGACCTTGAGCTATACGGCAGAAAACATGAGTTTACTTTGTCACAGAAGGAAAAAAAATGAAGGAAGTTAACTTGATTTTTGGTGGACAGTTAGTGACTTCTATTTCATTTTAATTAGTTTGATTTCTGAATTTTCATGGGTTTGTTTTGGGAGGTACTGGATAATATTCTGGTAAACTAAGGAATGGATGTTCTGATTGGAATGTATTTAGAGATTTATGATTTGTATAGTAATTCAAAATTTAACAGGTTTTTTCTATCCATTTTCTTTTCATTTTTTCAATTAAGAAAGGAACTTTGGTTGCATTTCTGTTATTTTCTGGTGGATATATTGCTCAAGTCCTTTCTATTGCATAATAACTAAACAATATTAATGCAACATCTTGCTTCTTATTATTACCATCACCAAGCAGGATTGTAGTTAATATATGCAAAAATCCAATAATGCAAGTCACGAGATCTGATTAGGTTCTGAGAAGAATCTGATTAAGAATTATTATTGCATGTAATATTGAGTTAGGTTGAGTGAATTATATATTAATGATGATTATTTTTAAATCCTCATTGCTTCAAATTTTCATAGTCCTAATTATTTCATTGCTTTTATGTTGATGTTACATCTAGAGTTTCTTATACATTCATCATTTTGAAATCCACTAAAGTGAGCTAGCACTTCATAATGTTGAAGTCAAGACTTCTATAGAAAATTATGGTGTATGGAGACAGAGCATAAATAGGAGTTATCAAGGCATGATCATGAAACTCGTGAAACTTGGAGAAGGCTTAATAAGTAGTGTTTGCAACTTTTGCTATTTGCCTGATCGTATAAAATGAGATATTATGACTGCAGTCCTCACACCCAAAGAATTGGAAACTAGCAGTGGATGTATACGGTATTGACATTCTAAATAACTACAATTTTTATGATGTGAGATTGTGTGAATGTCATGTAATATTCTCTCCTCATTCTTGCTCAACTACAGCCTATTAATTTTTTTCTTTTTCAGATGATGGGAGGACTAACAATGTCAGTTTCATCAGTTGAAAGTATGTCATCATTGAGCAGCGATATTTTCTATGACATACTTAGGCGTCTTGATGGTGCAACTTTGGCCAGTGCAGCCTGTACTTGTGCAATGTTCTGCTCTATTTCAAAGGAAGAGCGATTATGGGAAAATATGTGCTCTTCTATGTGGCCTTCAACTGATCGAGATGATGTCAAAAGTTTGATCATGTCAATTGGTGGATTCAAAAAGTTTTATGCAGATTGTTTTCCCCTAATTGTAAACGAGGTTCCTGAATTTCGATGGAATGACAATTTCGAGTATCCTGAAGAGTTGACCGAAGCTGAATACTACGGTGATTTGGATGAACTTGAAAGCGTTTCTCCATCGGATTTTGTGTCTATTATGGATATCAAATATAAAGACAAAACAATCTGTTCAAAAGTCCAATGGGGAATCCCGAATGCAGATGGCTTTAATGGTTGGTTTCACAATTGTCCATTTCATATTGATCTTCTTGCATATTCAGATGAAGTGATACTTTCAGTCTCCGACGGCCTGCCTCCAATCACGTCCATTGAACAAGAGAGAAAAGACGGACACCTCTGGCAAGAGCTCCGGGAGGGCATCCGGCTTAGTTGGATTATAGTCAACAGAAAAATAAAAAAAGCTGCTAATCTATCGAGTTGGAGCCCACTTGGAGGGCAAAGACATTGGCCTACAGACAAGGATTTCGTGGTACGATTTGGTTCCGTTCTTCCTGCCAAAGATATTCTTCCTTGTGAAGTAGTCAAATGTATCCTTGTCATGAAGTTCAGGGTGATCCGTACTGAGGGCGAAGGTGTCAAAACAACTCTCAAGTTGACAGAACTAAGCATGCAACTGGAGGATATGGATGGTTCTCATGTCAATGGCTGGAAAAGTTTGCTCGTCCTTAAAGAAGCACTTAGCTGCCATAGGAGCAAGAATTACAATGAAGCCCTCGAGTCGTGCCATTTGTACTCGAAGGTGCAAACGGAGCTCAAGGAGAAGAAGATGCAATATGAAGACATGTTAGACAGACTTTGGATATTAGGTGGCATTGCTACATGCATCAGTTTTTATTTGTACTGTTTGTGAATGCTGCGTTGTTCTAGCATGGCCAAATACTGTCGTCTTACTAAATTTCTTCTCCCCCTTTTCATAAGTAACTCAAATTTTGTTTGCAATAAGATTCCAGGCTTGTCTTCTTAGTTTGTCATAGTTTTCCTGCTTCTCTTGTGAAATATATCAAGAAGTTGTAATTGGAATAAGAGAGATGTACTCAAAACAAGTGAAAGTTGTAATTGCTTTTTTCCAATCACTTTCAAAATAATGGTTTGATTGAAAAATGCATTTGATGTGAAATGCGATAGGATCATGATTTTTCTCATATTTCAATAATTATTTGGTGAAGTTGAACAACGAAGCCTAAGTTCAATGTATGTTCCCTTCTGTCTTTTAGAAGAGAGATTAAAAATAAACTAGGAAATTGTCGCTATTATGTACGGAATTGACTCGATATATGAGCTAGAGCATTGTTGAATTATAAAAGGCACGAAAAGAAACATGAAAATGATAAATTAAATATAAAAGAAAAAGCTCGTTCATATCTTTCAATTAATGGTTTGAAAAAGGTTATCAATTATTGCATTTTTTTTATGAGAGAATCTTTAAACTCTTCATGTAACAAAATTCTCTTAAAGAAATTATAGTCCCGAGAAGCGCAACATGAGCTAGGCCGCACCAATTGAGCTATTTGACAGAGTAGTTAAGAGAGATTTGATGTACAATTATAAGCCCCTGTTTGGTAAGACAAAGTCAACAATTAATTTTAACTTCATATTTTATAGGGTTCACAATTATAGGTGGGGTTATCCAATAAATTGAAAATGCAGAAAGTAGGTCCCTCAACTTAAATATTTAGCAATTGAGGTCCTGCACCTTCCTATTTAGTTGCAATGCGGTCCTTGTTGGATGAATATAATCTATTTCTTCGTTATAAGTTAAATGAAATCACATTGCTACGACATACAAAGATTGAGGATTGAGATTGCCAAAAAAAAAAGGTGATCCAATTTGTCCGCTTCTTCTTCAAATTCAAATTTATCTTGTCGGGTCACAGGAGCGTCAACACCACTTTTAGCCCCTCCAACTATTATTTTGAGAAATAGGAATTTTTTTGGAGAATACGTGATTAAAGTAGAAATTTTTTTTTATTATGTAAATATATTATTAAAATGATTATGAGAATTAAAATTTATTAAATAATGATTGTCAAATGGGGACTTATTAAAGTCCCCGACTTTTTATTAGTGTAACTATCATGTCCCAACATTTTAATATTGTGCGTCCATTATCTTTAATTGACAAAAAAAAGTGTATTAAGTCGTTGATTGACTATACAACACGCACATTATGTAATACTTAAAGGGTTAAATTGTTTAAAAAAGATTCATTTATTTTCAAAATCAATTTAAAGGGTTAAATTGTTTGAAAATCGGTTTCTCGTGATTCTTGGAAATTTAAAAATTCTAATTCAACACCCCCATCTGCCATCTCTGCAAAGGTTTCAAGAAGGTATTAGTTGAATAAATTGGATGCCATTAAACTTTAATTAGATGAAATTCAATAAAATCTGAAAATCGGATATATTAACAATTTTTTCGTATTTTGAGTACAACTACAATATGAACAACCGTCCTGCCATGAATGTTTGCCTTTGTTCAAGACCCCACCACCTCATCATCTTCTAACTCTGTCCTACATTCTTTCCATTTTCTCTACTCTCTCTCTCTCTCTCTCTCTCCCCCTCTCTAAGCCCCACACTCTCTCTCTCTACTCGTTTAAAGTTGAGTATGAATACATTCTCCAGTTGGCGTCCATTGTACCCTGTTCTTTAAAGATTTTCAAAAACTGTAAACCAAAGAGAAATAAGGGACCATTTTTTTATTTTTTATTTTTCGGTAGGAGTTGAGTGTGAAGTGAAGAATATATTTGTTCAAGAAGGATGAGTGAGAACATAGATACATCTCCAAATGGGTTTTACAGAGCAACCCACTTGGGTTTTTTCAAGAAATTCAAGCGTTTGAAGCCATTAGAGCCTTCACCTGGTGTTCTTGGGTGTTTCTTTTTCAGTCTTTGCTTTATACTCTGTTTGCTTTTATTGGATTACAGAACCGTCAATCTTTTAAACGGGAAATCGTGGTCAATAACTTGGTTTAAGTTCAATGATTTTTCATTGGTAAAAGAAAAGGTGGGGTTTCTTGAAGAAAGTAGTGGAGGGTGTGATATATATGAGGGAAATTGGGTATGGGATGATGAAAACTATCCACTTTACCAATCTAAAGACTGTATGTTCTTGGATGAGGGTTTTAGATGTTCTGAAAATGGGAGGCCTGATCATTTCTATACCAAGTGGCGTTGGGAACCCAAAGATTGCAAATTGCCCAGGTTTTTTTTAACGATTATAATCTTAATCTTATATTTTTCAAGTATGAATTGATTAGGATATTTGTTATGTACTTTACTAGGTACTTTGAGTTCAAATGATAGGTTCAAAGATTATATGATAAAAATCCTTACTTGAACAATTGTAGCTCTGGAAAGTGTGCTGCTATATAGGCTGTATTTGACTAGGCTTTAGATTTTTTATGACTTCAGTCTTTGTTTGTTCCAAGGTTTTATAGGTGACTAGTTTAAATTTTATCGTTTAGAATCCAATACAGTTTTTCTCTTTGGATTTTTGTTCAGCAAATTTGATATTTAGCTTTTTGTTCTGTTTTTTAAAAGTTGGGATCGTGGGTTTAGCCATTTAGGCCATGTCTTCTCTGGCTGTTCTGGTGAATTGAAATGGTAGAATGACAATAATGTGTAACTATGACAAGACACTAACATCACCGTGATCATGCAATTTTTTTTTACGTTTTCTTCCTTTGACATGGAGCAGATTTGATGCAAAAGTTATGCTGGAAAAGCTTCGAAACCATCGGATAGTGTTTGTGGGAGATTCTATAGGAAGAAACCAGTGGGAGTCCTTTCTTTGCATGCTATCTTCTGCTATTACTAATAAGGCTTCAATTTATGAAGTGAATGGGAGCCCAATTACAAAGCATTCAGGCTCTTTAATTTTTAAGTTTAGGGATTTCAACTGCACGGTTGAGTATTACAGAGCCCCATTTCTAGTGTTACAAAGCCGCGCACCCGCTGGAAGTCCCAAAAAGGTGAAAATGACATTGAAGATGGATATAATGGATTGGAGCTCTGCTAAGTGGAAGGATGCAGATCTGCTGATTTTCAACAGTGGGCATTGGTGGAATTATGAGAAGACCATCAGAGAGTAATCTTTCTTTCTTGATTTAGATATTTTTAATAGAATTTATTTATTTTATGATTTTTGCTTGCTTATTCTTTAACTGGGATTAATTAATTACACCCTTGAGCTAATATCTGAAACAGGATAGCTTCTGCGTTCTCATAACTAGTTTGGTAAGATGATAGAAAAGAACACTTGGCTTTTATTGCATATTATGGACCTGAACAAGTGATATAATTTCACGATGTTTTATTTCCAATATAATAGAGATCACAGAGGCTAATCATGTTCATGTACGGTGCTAGACTACAGAGGTCTGAAGTATTCTACAGCATGATCATGATATAATCACATCAGTTGATGAAATAACTGGATTTATTTGCAGAGAGAGAGAGCTATTAGCCTCTGTTTGGTAAATTTATATTTATAAATTGGTCAATTTTCATTTTCAACTACGCATTCCAATGGAGTCACAAGTGCTATCCACCACTTGTTTCTAACTACTTATAAATTAGACTGTTTATAAATTCTTCCCAAATGGACAATTCTAATCTTGCGTGAGATCTATGTGAAATATTTTATTCTTCTCTGTTTGATTAGTGCAAAATTTATGTGAATTTGGAAAGGTTGCATATGAATCTTACGTCGTTAATAATTTTCGTTGGTAATTAATTGCTGCAAATTATTTGTTCATAAAGAACATGTGAGGTACTGTAGCATCTCATTCCTTGTGTTATAACCCTTTCCCCTGATTATGGATATTTTGTGGTTAAATCAGAGAAAAGCCTGTATTCTTGCCCCAAAAACCCAAAAGCCAAAGGAAATTAATAGAAAAATAAAAACAAAAAGGAAAGTGATTCTCTTAAGATGTTCGACTCGGACAACCAAGTTTTATCTGTGGACATGACAATTCAGTTTGTGCTTTGCTTGAGTAATTGTTCATCTTTGGAGCTTATTGTGTAGTTTTGACGTTGTTTTGAAAGTCTTGGACATTGTGGAGCCTAATCATATATGTATTACGTCGCCTAATATTCTTACATAGATAAAGGATTATTCAAGGGGGTCATTTATAGACAGATTTAGACTTAGGGGTGTGGGATCACCATTGTAATCTTCTTTCTTTATCATGGTGAGAGTCTGCAGCAGCAAGTGAACATTAGTCTGGGTAAACCACGTTAAATTTGTATTTGGTCTGTGTTTCTTATTTCGTTTTGCTTAAGATTGCTCTATTGCTTGGAATTAGGGCATAATCCATAATAGAAAGTCCGGTACACGCACGTAGATATATATATGGTAAACCCATATAGATACCATTTTTTAAACCTTGAATCCTTTTATGGTGTATTAGGGGCTGTTACTTCCAAGAAGGGGAAGAGATCAAGATGAAGATGAGCGTAGAAAATGCATTCCGAAGGTCAATTATGACATTGATTGATTGGATAAGTCATGAAATAGACACGACAGCAACCCACGTCTTCTTCCGAAGTTATGCTCCTGTACATTTCAGGTACCTCTTGATTCTTGATCAACAGTGGCATCGTTGTTAGCATATAGCCCAATTTAATTAAGTTGTCCAATACTTTATCTCTTGCAGTTTAATTATACTTGAATTATGAATTATCAATATTAATTCTTTGTCTAAATCTATTTGCTAAGAGATATAGTCCTCTTGTTTATTAATCTTGCTACCTTACTTCGTATAGGGAGGATTAGATAGTACTCAACAATATTAAAGTAGAAAAATAAGTTCAAAAATTATTCTATTATACCAAACATGCCCTTGATGTATAATTGAATGAACAGAGGTGGGGATTGGAAGACTGGTGGTAGCTGTCACCTGCAGACACTACCTGACTTGAGCTCATCATCATTCTTGTTGGAAGCATCGAGTGAGTTTAAAACAGTTGTTAATGCGTTCTCAGAACATGCGAAGGCAGGGAATATGGATCTATTGAATGTGACGGGTATGACATCGCAAAGAAAAGACGGTCATTCTTCCTTATATTATTTGGGGTCTAAAGTGGGACCAGCCCCTCTCCACCGACAAGACTGCAGTCATTGGTGCCTGCCCGGTGTCCCGGATTCATGGAATGAACTTCTCCTTGCAGTCTTCCACAAACGAGAATTTACTCGTGGACAAAATTTAACAATACCTTCTGCTTCAACTTGATAGGTTTACGGGATCTTTTTCAACTAAACCAGCATTTGCATTACGATACGGATTAGTTGGCAGCACTTACAGAGTAATGCATTTTGATTTTTTCTTAACTTAGAAAAATGAGAACCCGTGGATGCTACCCTGCGGACATTCTCAACATTGACATCAACGTAATGGTTTGCGTTGTACATACATTTTAGATGAGGAAAATTACATGACTTGATGATTCGATTCTCTACACGATGAAGCAACCCAAACCCGCTGGCCAAGGAAAGGAACGCACACATGATCAAGGAATTGAAGATGCATATATTTTATGTCATCAAATTTGATGATCTCTTCGTCTCGTTTTGTTCTTGTCTGAGGTGGATATACTTGAATATTGGATGCAAATTACAGACAGATACAAACAGTATACTAGGTTTTTGATTCTATAACTTGGCTGTTAAATAATTTTGTATGATTTTTATTTTTCAGTTTTGGTACATATGAAGAGAGTTGAATGAGGAAACAATATTTTGTACAAACAAAAGAGAAAAATGTTATTTATGCTCCATTTAGTTTTATTTTCATTCTTATTATAAGGGCTTGTTTGAAGTAGATTTTTTAATAATAATTTTTGTGAAAAAAGGCTGTATTGTTGGAGAATGTGATTAAAATGTAGGAAAAATAGTTGTGTATGTGCAAAATTATTTTACTGGGTTTAAAAATGAGTTTTAGAAAATTTGTACCAAACATGGACTAAATATTGTACATGTTGTGGTTTGTTGGCCACATAAATTTTAGACGAGACTATTCAATAACTACTGTAATGTCATTAAATTGTTATTATAAATAACAATTTGAACCAGGAAACGAAATAAATCAATACACAGAAAACATAAACCAGCGGAACCTCTGCATTGCAAAGGTTATGACTTACAAATCAGTTTCTTGAATAACCAGAAAGTACTAAAAAGAAACCATTAAAGCAAAGCAAATTAAAGTAGACAATTTCTCAGTTCAATTCCTCAGAAGTAGTAGTTCTCAAATCTCATGGTGCAATCAACCAGCTTCGTCTGGCCGCCAATTCGACCACCGCAGTTACTCTCGAGAGTTGCCTTGGCAGAAACGAGGCAGTTGGCGCAGTCGTTATTGGACAGAGCACGGCTGCAAGTGGCGTGTCCATAAGCAACTGCCGTGGAATAAGGCGAAGTGGCTCTGTAGTCGAAGCCCTGCTGCGACGGAGTGACATTCATCAAGTCAAAAAGAACATATGTCACACTGTTCCCAAAAGGGTCACCTTCTGCATATGAATTGACATTGCAACCAAGGACATTAATGCTGGTATTTGGTCCACCTTTAACTGTATGGCATAGCCCCAGCAGGCCAAGCAGAAGTGCAGAAACAATTAAACTGGTTTTTGGAACAAAACTCGTCATCTTAATTCTTAATAATATTTACTGGGATGATGAAATAGTTCTTAATTGATTGTTATAAATAGACAGTGGATTCATTGGTTTTCTCACCATTTTGGAGCATTCCAATGACCATTATTGGTGCCTTGCTAGTGTTTAAGACAACTAAACAAATAAAACTTTCCTATCACTATCTCCACAATTTTTTGAATAATGCTATTTATCATTATGATGATGGAACATCGATAATGTGACAATTTATGTGGAATAATTGGATTGGGCAGTTTCACTTTTATGGGAGAGAGAAGGGAAGGAGAGAAAGAAATACAAGAAATAATGACTTCCCACATCAATGATATTCTATCATCATGTTGATAAATAGCACTATCCCAATTTTTTTAGACGAAATAATTTAATTCATTGTTACAATTGGTGAGAAGCACATGAATGAATCATCATTCTTCCCTCCCTATGGTTTATGTGATATTCCTTCTTTGGAGCTCGATCCAATCAATGGAATGAAATGAAACAATGGTAAGCTTAGGGCGACGAAAACATGGCTCAAAAAATCGGAGTCAAAAAGAAAATGAGATAGTCTAATCCGTAAAAGTTTTCTACTCAAGGTAATTTTGTTAAAGTATGTTTCGAGGGTTCATTGGTAAAGGAGGCTACGACCATTCCAGCCCTGTGTGGTCATCTGCCTTCGATTTGCTGACCGATAAGATTTTTGAGATTGTCCGAATATGGTATCGGAGCTCCTATTTTAATATATATAAAAAAAAAATGTTTTGAAGTCAACGAGGGCATAAGGGATTCTAATTTTCTAGAGAATATATTGTAAAGGAGATAGGGCTCATTGATTATAAAACGAGAAAAGTTATTCAACAAGTTGAGAACAAGCATTTTGATCTCATGTTTACGAGCGATATTATAAATTAAATTTCCTCCAACAAAAGGATTAGAGTGTACAATAGAACATATAATTATCGTGAATTTAGATCTTGCCGTCAAAAATTGCATGTTTTACGCCTCTAGTGTAAAAACAAATTCAATTTGACGTGTTGGAAATCTGACAACTTAAACTTTTAAACAAAGTGACTTCAACAACTTGAATAACGTTTTACGTGCACATTGGTTTGCAATTTTACATTGTGCACATCATGTTTTATTTATTGCATGTTTATCCATAGAGACAAAAACATATTGCTAGAGTAGTCTATTGGTATAAACATTGTGATTTCCATAGTGGAAATTAAACTTTATGCAGGCCAAAAAGAAAATTCTCCATCAAGTTTGAACTCTATATGATTAATAAAAAGTAGAAATGTACATTGAATTTGTCGAATCTTTATATGGAATGGATTTAAATATAACAGTACTAAAAGGATATGGATACGAGAAACTTCCAAAACTTCATCTCTACAAGAAGATGAAAATATTCGTTGAGCAGATAGCCAAAAGTTCAAAAAGGTTATCTAGCAAAGTTTAACACCTTCAGATCAACTGCCTCGACCCATTCCAGTATCGTCCCCTCAATAGGAACTAGGAAGTGTACCGAGCCTTTCCTCCCATTAACAAACCAACTCCACTGCAACTGTAAATCACAACCAAAATGCTGAAAACTAAATAATGAATAAACTCTCAAAACAACATTTCCCCGATGCCATTGCCAGTTTTCTGCAAATCTTCTTGTGACAAAAGGGTTTTCTTCCCCATTGCACCAGTCTTGTCATATGGCTGAGCCATCTTTCTTAGGAACTGCAAATTTGCGCCGAAGAAAAAATACTTAATAGTAATCATGGCCTGCTAGCTATCGTAATGCGATAAGAGAGTTGATCCCATGTGAATTGTATAAGATAATATAGAATTGAGAATTTCAACACGTTTATTCAGTTTTAAGCCTCAATCGCCTTATCACATGGTGGAGGTATTCTCAATATACACCAGCACACATTACCAGAGAAGTTTAAAAGACCTCCGATGCTGGTAAGGTCGGGACCGTGGTCATCTGCCTTCGATTTGCTGACCAATAAGATTTTTGAGATTGTCCGGATATGGTATCGGAGCTCCTCTTTTAATATATAAAAATAAAATGTTTTGAAGTCAACGAGGGCATAAGGAATTCTGATTTTCTAGAGAATATATTGTGAAGGAGATAGGGCTCATTGATTATAAAACGAGAAAAGTTATTCAACAAGTTGAGAACAAGCATTTTGATCTCGTGTTTACGAGCGATATTATAAATTATATTTCCTCCAACAAAAGGATTAGAGTGTACAATAGAACACATAATTGTCATGAATTTAGATCTTGCCGTAAAAAATTGCATGTTTTACACCTTCAGCGTAAAAACAAATTCAATTTGACGTGTTGAAAATCTGACAACTTAAACTTTTAAATAAAGTGACTTCAACAACTTGAATAACGTTTTACGTGCACATTGGTTTGCAATTTTACATTGTGCACATCATGTTTTATTTGTTGCATGTTTATCCATAGAGACAAAAACATATTGCTAGAGTAGACTATTGGTATAAACATTGTGATTTCCATAGAAAGTGGAAATTAAACTTTATGCAGGCCGAAAAGAAAATTCTCCATCAAGTTTGAACTCTCTATGATTAATAAAAAGTAGAAATGTACATTGAATTTGGCGAATCTTTATATGGAATGGATTTAAATATAACAGTACTAAAAGGATATGGATATGAGATACTTTCAAAACTTCATCTCTACAAGAAGATGAAAATATTCGTTGAGCAGAAAGCCAAAAGTTCAAAAAGGCTATCTAGCAAAGTTCAACACCTTCAGATCAACTGCCTCGACCCATTCCAGTATCGTCCCCCACAATAGGAACTAGGAAGTGTACCGAGCCTTTCCTCCCATTAACAAACCAACTCCACTGCAACTGTAAATCACAACCAAAATGCTGAAAACTAAATAATGAATAAACTCTCAAAAGTCAAAACAACATTTCCCCGATGCCATTGCCAGTTTTCTGCAAATCTTCTTGTGACAAAAGGGTTTTCTTCCCCATTGCACCAGTCTTGTCATATGGCTGAGCCATCTTTCTTAGGAACTGCACATTTGCGCCGAAGAAAAAATACTTAATAGTAATCATGGCCTGCTAGCTATCGTAATGCGATAAGAGAGTTGATTCCATGTGAATTGTATAAGATAATATAGAATTGAGAATTTCAACACGTTTATTCAGTTTTAAGCCTCAATCGCCTTATCACATGGTGGAGGTATTCTCAATATACACCAGCACACATTACCAGAGAAGTTTAAAAGGTTTAGTGTCTCACCTCTATTTCTTCACATTGCATTATTATCAATATATGCCCAGCAGAAAGACAACACAAGATACAAATAATATAATACCGTACCTCTCTTGCTATATGCACAGCCATGTCGGTGCTCAAGTTCAGGTGCGCATCACGCAAATGCGACAATATCCACCCAGGCAACTTTGAGCGTTTGTCATGACGGCTATATCTAAACATGTCAACAATCCAATACATTAGCAAGTAAATAAATAAAATAAACTCATTTAGCAAATACTACACATCGTCATTATTGAATACTGAATAGCTCAATAAACTACTACCTTAAACATGCATTAACATTGAATCAAATTTGTAGATATCACATTTAATTATTTAAAAGGAATTAGACCATGCTTTCTGCACATTATTTTACACAATAGAAACTTGCTTACCATATTGGATGCACCTTAATTCTCTAGCCTTGAACAATTGAACGGAATGAAGTTCACAGTCTAATTCACTTGTGAAAGTTCTATTACATAAAGACCAGGGCTAGCTATTACATCACTTGCTATATAAAAAATAGTATTGCTCGCTCTTATAAAGGTTTACGTTCAGCACTCTCTCTCTAGTCATTAGAATAGATAACGCGACAAAACATACAAATAACTTTAAAAAAATGGCTTATATGTAATGATGAAGTTGTACACAACAAATTGCACTAGAAACTTGTTAATTATGGCATACTAAAACTATGGTTACAAAAACTTTGAATCCCTTTTTGTTACACTGGCAACTCTAAATGAATATTCCAGATTGATACTAGAGCCTAGAGGCGACTGCTCATAACTTCAAAATCAGAAACAAGGATTCAAACCTCTTGTCAGCAAAAATCATCATCCCATAATCAGCCTTTGAACGGATAACTCGTCCTACACACTGAGCAGCTTGTCTCTGGAAATCAATGTAAAAATGCATAAGAAAAAATAAACGTAGCATGCAAGTACCCAAAACACGTGAGTGCAGCCAAATATTACCAAAGCATCAAAAGTCAGAAAGTCGCCCTCTTTTATTTGGAAAGTCTCCCTTAAATACTCCAGTCTTGCAAGTAATATTCTGCAAATTCAACACTATTGAAGCCGCATACAGTTGGGAGAATCGTAACTTCATAAACTACAGTAGGGACGGGGATGGAAAGTGTGCTATCAATATATTTTTGGCAGGATTGATTAGGAAAACCAGTATGAATCAAATAAAAAATAGACTTTGCAATGTCCAAATCAAAATTGAGCTTACAAAGCCTAATCAGTGATTTCTGTCATCATCCCCATAAAAAATGATTTAAAAAAGGCAAACAAACCCAAAACCAGTCAAAGAATTTCATTATATCCCTTCTGAACATCCTATTGCACCTGTTGATTATGATTGCAAAAATATAAGAAATCCAAGTATTTTGGCACTTCCTAAAAATTTGTGCTGAACTTTGATAAATTTTCTGCAGCAAAAGAACAGGAAGGCAAATTCATATCCATCTCATGAAAAAAACTGGATGTCTTGAACTATTCCTTTGGGGCCCAATGGATGTATGCAAAGTATGATACTAGATTAATTCATAAATATACAACCATTTTCCCAGATTTCTCAAGCTGGTGAATATGTCGAGCATGGATTCATGTGCAAAAATCAAAGATAAACCTGCAACCAGAGTTGTATAGCAAAAGAATGCAAGAAAAAAAATTCTGGAGCAAGTCATCA